CTAAATTTGAGATTCAGATCTGCGTGTAGCACTTTTGTACGTGGAGACTTTACGTCGATATCACGTTGAATCGACGTGATCAAGACGTCGATAAATCGTGGATGAGATAGTCAAATTCACGTGGATAACACGTGAATTTGCCACGTGTTTTCCACGTATAACACCACGTCGATTCCACGTCTTTTCCACCAAAATTTCTCTCTGGGGTGGCGGCGGCGTGGCGGCAGACCCTAACCTCACTCTAGCTGCTTCCAGCCGGACTCGCCCCTCTCGCGCGCCCCGCCCAGCATGGCGTATGGTGCTACCCTCGTCTCATATGATGTGTGCCCCGTGCCCCCCTTTTGGGGCCGTTTTGGTGTTTCCCGCCAACAATAATGCCACACTTTGCTGTCACAGGGAGCCGCCTCTGCCCCTGCCACCGACCACCGCCACCCTCGTCATGCTGTCACCGCCCTCCTCGCGACGACGACCTGCCCCCCAAGAAACACACCGCACGGCCCCGCCTTGGTGCCGAGTGCCGCGACCAATGCGACACCGTCCCGACAATGCCGCCCGAGGGTCCTCCTGGTCGCGTCGCCCGCGGGGGAGTGGCGGCCGGCGGTCCTTAACCTGCTTTATGGCACATTACCCCTGATTTGTTGGGATCGAGCTGCTGGCTGCCGGCGTTATTAGGACGAGAGGCGGCGGGGGCGGCGGGGGCGGCCGGAGACACACACGCGGGGGTCACACTCAAAGCCTCCTAAATAGCGGCTTCCACGCCCGGCCTGGCGGCCGCCTTGAGGACGTCCACACCCTTCACCGCGCTCCCGGACGGACGGCTGCGGGTGCCACCCATATGGCTCCCCGCCGCTCCCCAAAGCAAGCTCTGGGAAAGGGGATCAATGGGACATTATATTCGAGTTTGTTTCATCAACTCAGCTTGGAGACAAACGTTCGCTGCTGCTTTACTGTTTATTGTGTAGTCCCACCTAAACACCACCCGAAGTGTACCCGGGCGTGCTGCTGCTCAAGAGGTACTCGCACCTCACGTCGGCGACGACGCGAGCGAGAGGCTCTCCCATTGGAGGCGGCCCCTTACGCAGCCCTGGCAGAAATCAGGTTTATGGGTATTCGTGACCGGAGGCCAGATTGTTTCTGAGCCCTCGAGAGGCGCGCTGCGGAGCGCTGCTGCTGAGTGCGTCGTGGGGCAGGGCCTGGCTGAGCGTGGCTGAGCGTGGCTGAGCAGCGGAGCGCCCCAACCGACCGACACGGCTATGAGGTGCTGCGCGCCGTCAAATAACAATCGGCTACATGAGTTATAGGCTGAGCCTACACCGCGGGAAACAACACCTCAACAGCAGCTGCTGAGCACCTGCAGGTGTGACTCACCGCCAGCGTGGTGGTGGTGTGGTGACAGCAGCTGCAGGTGCGCGTCCCCCACGGCGGGGTTGTGGCGATTTGCGACATCGCTTTGGGGAATTTCAAACGCGCGCGTGCCTCTTCCCGCGTGCGCTCGCCTCGCCCCACGCCGTCCTTCAACGCACCTTCAGTAAGACGTGCGCGCGTGCAGTCTCGGGCATATCATACGCAAACGTAAGACGAGTAATCCGGTAAAGAGGGGCCAACTACCACTTTCCCTATGGGGGATACAAATATTATGGTCCCTTATAATTATGACCTTAAGGTTCACGATCATCATTTGAGTTAATGTGGGGTCTTGCCAATAAAGCGAGACTTCTAGGGGGTACAAATATTCTGGAGTCCTGCCCTGATCCATTTTGGCGTACAAATAGTATGGGGTTCCATCCAAACGAATCAGGTCTACCATTGACGCCTGTAGGATACTCCATAATAAGTTTTACCACCCTAGGGGTTACAAACATCATGGGGGCCTTCCAAATGGGATCTCATGATATTTGTACCCCACCTCCCCCGATAGCAACATTTGGATCGACACGTAGGATCCTCTGAGTTTGGTGATAATGATAAACGCGAGCGGCACGAGCCTCTGTTCCCTCTCTTTCTCGCCTCCCGCCCTACCCCTCCTGCTTTAGGATCTGGAGGGAAGATAATAAAGTCTCGGCGGTAATTAATTAGTGGAATGGTCTCTCTCTCTCTCTCTCTCTCTCTCTCTGACAGAGATGTTCGTAGCCCGGTAGCACCTCCGCCACGTGTGGTGATCACCAATGCGTCCCAGAATGAGATAACCATGTCGCCTTCCTTTGAGGCAAAAAAAGAGGAACACACGAACGCTGACCGGGCCGAGTTAAGACGGGGAGTGGACCATACGTTTGGCGTTTGGGCCGCCGTGTCGCGGACGTCGATGCCTTGTTTAATGATTGTGTGACGAAATTACGGAGATACCTAAGAGTTTCGGAATCTTACAACCTCTCTCCCCCCC